ATTGATTCCGCTATTTCAGAGTAAATGTTTTCTTTATTTAAACAACTGCGAAAAATGGCGTCCATTTTCTCGACGTACTGTATATGTTCATCCTGTGGTACAATTAATAAATTTTACATCGAATTTAAACACCCGTACACTACCTACTTCACAATATATTCGTGTCATTTTTATTGAGATCGCTCACATTCTGTCCATCCAGTAGTCTTGGCGTGACAAGCAACTGAGCTCACCTCGAGACCCCCTGAGAATTTGCGTAAATGCGTGCGTCTCTGTGTGCATACGATTTCGACCATTTGTTCTTAGTTTCGCTACTGTATTATTCTGTGGTCATACTACCTACATGTATTATTTTACTCATTGCTTTTTTTCTTCTCTATAAATGTCATAAAAACCTTTTTAGAATTACAAAAGATGGTTTGCATCTTTTATATCCGTAGGAAGGTGCTAACAGTTCATATTATGAGGTAATTAATTATGTTATCTATATTAACCCGTAATGTATATGAAGATACTACGTAAAATTCTAAACGAAGAGTAAATAAAAAATGTGTATTTAGAATGTTAATCTGACCTAAAACAACCAACTGGTAGTTTATGTAAGCTCTAAAACGAAGTGAAGTCACCTCTTCGATATCCTTCATGGGCATTTTCTGGCTGGCCAGTTGTGCGGCTCGTCGCTCTCGGAAATGTAAGAACCACCCTCTAGATTCACGTTCTAATAGCGCCTGCAACGGTGCGGCCGCTCGTCGCAACACCTCACGACGATACAGACGCAAATCCACCTGATGACGAGTAGACATTCATAAAAAAAAAACAATAATACGACATCGCCACCGACGGATACAAGCGAATCGAGCTTCCCCTCCCGCGCGGTGCGGGGTAGCGTACCCCCACTCCGATTAAGTTTATTAGATTGACTGATTAAAATATGATTTATGTGCAGCTGTACTAATTACACTTAAGTTATGAAATTATATCAATAAATGGAGTTCTCCGATCGCAATGTGATCCACTGTTTTATTTTGAAGACCCACTCTGAACCAGCATTGAAGAAGTTTCCCTAAGAAATACAGTCGACCACCAACAGTGGCTTTATACAAAATTTCAACTGCTCTCCCTGCCAGTCAAATATGAAAGATAAAAAATGTTTTTGACTTTATTATAGTCTAATAACAAATTATATGTTAGTTATGCTCATTCTCCCTATTCGATTCCATCCATATAAGGGGTCATCCATAAATTACGTCAAACGATTTTCATGATCTTTTGTCCCTCCCCCCGTCCTAGTCACAGCTGGTCACATTTGTAAGACTCCCCCCTCCTAGTGTGATGTCACATACTTTGCAAAGTTTTTGTAAAGTAGTAGTTTAAAGTTCGTGTTTTAACATTCAGACTATAATAGATTTTGAAATGTGACGTCACGAAATTTAGGACCCTCCAACCTCCTTGTCACAAAATGTCACACTTCGTCGACCCCCTCCCTCCCCCTTAACGAGTGACGTAATTTATGGATGGCCCCTAAAAGCATGAATAGGCTGGTGGTGTGATGCTACATTGATATTTTTCTTTAAGATAACACTCATAATGATTCAAACAGTGCGCCACTCTTCTGGGTGTGACAAAAACAAAATCTGGTCTGTGTATTTGTGTATTTTTTAACGTTTTACGTTACTGCGCTCACATAAAAATATTAAGTTTAATCTCGAAAATGCAAACAATTTGAAATTTAGGTCATTTTCAAGGTCGGAAAATCCTTTTAAATATACATTCGGTCTTCTGTTTGTTCCCGAACGAAATTTATGAAAATTTCAAGTAAGTAGGTCTTATAATTTTCTTAAAATCATATCAGTGAAGATTATCTGTGCATCGGAGGTAGTGTAAGGTCCTACTTACGTTTGTAATCTAAATGACTGCTGCAAAATGCGTTTTCTGGAAATGCGTTTTGCGTTTTTTTTTTATAGAAAATAAACGATTTAGTTTTCGGAGATCGTCTGCTCAGGTAATATTAGTAAGGATTTGGTTTAAGTTTTTGCTTGTCCTACCATAATCCTCTGCGGCGTGGTATAGAGGCAGGGTACACGTGGTACGGGGCGGGGCGTTTCCCTCGCGTCGGTCTTCTCGGAGGCCGCCCGCCTCATGGCGCGTATCACCCACGCGGCCAACGCTGCGATATCCTCTTGATGCTCAGGCTAACGTAAGACAACAATGCACTATTGTAACTTATGTTAATGTTCGCAAAATAATTTATTTTTTATATTAAATATATCGCTCACCATACAAATGAGTTCAGCTACTAAATAGCGAGATCTTTCTTCACGTATTTTCTTTTCGAGATCACGCGCTTCCAAGGACGGCATACCAAAAATGAGATCTACAAACCTAAAAATTTTATCTCTATTAGACAACAAAAAGATCAACTAATTAAAGCATAAATTCCTATTGAAATTATAAATTCTTATTGAAATTAAAATTAAATTTGAGGAGTATTATTTATTTCTTATATATTTGCAAATCCACGGCGTAACGGTTGGTACGTTTGGTTTGTAATTAAGCCGTTGGTCTCAATATGCCTTTTGAATCTATCCTTAGAATACAATAATCCGCATGGGGGGTTAGTTTCTTTGTGTTATTTACACCAGCAGTTGTATTTGATCCAACATGATACAAACATAATCTAATACAGCATTGAACGTTAATTGCATTTTGATTGAAGCCAATGCCAACTAAATCGACGCCAATCGCGGTAGAGCTAAGTGTGCCTTAGCAAAGGAGACGGTAAAAGAAGAGGACAATAACGGTTGAGTTATTACCTATGCAATCCCATAAGCAGAGACTTGGTCCCGGCTATGACCGAGAGCGGTTCATCTCTAATCAGTCTATCCTTAGCCACGATGACTATGAGGGCCACAGCTCTCGCCACGTGACAGTATAGATCTTCACGAGCTCGTGCGCGTCCACGTTGTAACCATCCCGCCACTCGCCACACGTGCGTCTGCCCGGGGAATGTACGGGATGGCACCTCGAACTCCCTGCCATTACCGACCTTTATATATGACTACTTAAACATCGCATTTATCTGTAGTTCTCAGGGGTTTAAAGCGTCATGTCTTATATGGTTGTTGGTAGTTATAATAACATATAAGCACTATTGTCCAATTTGTAATTCTATGGCCAATAGTATTTTCAAGATTTGCGACCAATCTTAACAGCAAGTGCGTAAAATAACACACGACGCTTTAGAATAACATCTAAGTGTAATCATGCTTTGAAATGTCTTTGATGTCCATTATAATGAATAGATCGACGATGACGATGCGGGATATACAAGTAAACATATAAAATAATATATATCTATAGACACAATGAAGCTTCATCAATGAAAGCATGCTATGTAATAGGGGTATAAACATTTGTGCCAATTTCTTAGTAATTTCATTCTATAAATAGGCACCAATGTTTGGTTCGAATTATTATACTCAATATACACATAAATAAAATGACATAAATACAGGGCACACATACCCCCATTCGCGTATCGATTCCAACTGTTTAGCGTTTAGTTTCTTCACGTTAAATATTTTGTCCTTGTGCAGGCTTTACGAAAAACAAAATTATTAAAAAAACGTCTGATTTTCTAGCTATGATGTAATTATTTGTTAATGTATATGATATAAAGCGCAGCTACTCTATTTTTAAGCCGCAAGCTAAATAAATATTATATATATGTACATTAATTAATAATGACGCATGTGTTATAGATATTGTATTACAATGGGGCGTAAAATTAAATGAAGACATGATTGACTTTCATTTCATTTCATTTAAAAAGGCGTACAAATTTATTATATCAACCAATGAATATTGACACGTTTTTTGTCATAAATTTAATAGGATTCCTCAGTTACATTATTTTACTACTGTAAAATTTATGGCTGTTACGAAATTTCAAATTTCTTCAACCTATTTTAAATCTAATAGATTTATAAAGTTCATAATTGATCACAAACATAAGCCCTATTGTAGTAATTGCTGTTTTGTGTAACATGAATCAATATCTTCCATAAAATATATATTCATTTGAAAGAAGAGAACTAAAATATAAAAATACCATACCAGAAAAGACCCAAGAAGAAAATAACAAAAAATGTATCGTAGTGGGTTGAATGAAACAGACATCGTAGCCCGAACATAAAAAAAAACCTTCATTAACACGTGTTGTGGCGAGAAAAGAGCGCAACGAACTTAGTTTGAAAGCCGTATCATTTGTTGGGTACGACAGTAATTGAACTTAACAAGTTCAAAGGGGGGCTGATCCTTTGTCATTCGAAGCGATTCTATTTGTTTAATGAACGCTTAAAATGCATTTGAATTAGCTGCATTTGTTCTCATATAGTATTGTCATGCGTATAAGGTGTATAGAACTCATAATTTTAAGTTTTTAATTGAGAGTGTGAACTCATGACATAATTTTTGTAATTGTATTGTAAAATGGAGTAATAATATTTAATTAAACAACAATGTGTTAACTTTATATTAATACAAAACTACATTTCTAACTTTTCCTACGTTCATTTATTTTTTTTATATTTTTATATTGAAACCATTTAAGTAAATCATTAAAGTAATATTAAATCCAAACTACTTGATTCACATTCATTTCTAAACGATCATAACAGTACTTTGCTTAGTATTTAGTTTTCCGTATCCTTTGGGGTAAAACAACGGTACGGAATCCTTCGTGCAAGAGTCCCACTAGAACTTGACCTGTTTTTTTTTTTCAATAAATTTTGCATTGAAGACCTAGAACGCGTTAGCTAGTTATTACACGCAATTCGTAAAAATCAACGAAAATAATAAAGTATATCTGACGGAAGATGCTTAATGGAAGTTCTGTCGCTTTCTATACTTTAGTGAGACGATCTTCCGTCAGATTTACACCGACCCTAAGTTTACTGTCGCTGTTGATGTAGTGATACTATATAAGAGACCAGCAGCGGTCATTTCGATCGCGCGAGAAGAGGCCTAGGGGTTGTTTTTGTGCATCGCCGTCCATGCAGTGGCATATCGCTAGGCTTTATTGGGTATGCTCCTGCATTTTGGCTAGCAGGGGAGAGCCCCGCATAACACGCCGACCATCCGCTGAGGGAATGGGTATGAAGTAATATATTTCCTATACTTGAAAAAAAAGACAAATATATATGACAATCTGTACATCATTTCTTTGGATTTGTGTGAATAATCTCACCCAAACAATACTCAAGCATTTACCTAAACCTAAAGATACGATACCGCGGGATTCTTGTTTCCCCAAATCCATTTTCAAATACATTTTAATCAATCATAAAAAGGATATGACTCTTACGAAACTTAGGTTCTATTGGGAAAATATCTAACATTTACATAAAAACCAGGAAGCTTGGTAGATGGCGATTGTCATATCCTCTTCATAAACATTTTCAACAGATGGCTGACCAAAGTAAATGTCTAAATTATGTTTTTCTGAATTTAATCTTTATAATTACTTATACAAATATATACTTATATATAATATATTCTATATGCGGGATCTCGTTACCTGCGGGATTGACAATGTCAGTCCCGCAAATACCGAAATTTCAGTTAGACTGCAGGATTGGAAGCTCTGATCTCGGTACAAGTTATGAGAGTGAATCTCATTTTCTAGAAGCTTTGATATGAACTTCAGGAATTTATGATAAATATATGTATATGTAGCACATACAGTAGCATATAATGGATGCTGATCAAATGAGCCTTGAGTTGCCACATCATATGAGTCATATTACACCAGAAGTTATCTATAATAAAATAATAATATTCCACTAATCAAGCCAATTTAACACTTTTGCTGCAATATAATATTGATACCACTTTGCAGACAATTTTCATAATACCTAAGAGTAATATCATTTGACCCAGCTCACTTTCAAATGTATATATATAATCAATGTTTCAGAATTATTAGATGGTCTATTAGTGATTGTATTCGAATTATTAAATATGATGCTTGCTAAACTAAGCCATACTTCAGTGACTAATTTTAATATAGTATGATTAAATTATGGCCATGGTAACTTCAGGACAGAAAGTATATAAAATTATGTGGTTCTATATAAAAAAATCAAGTTGATTTATAAAGAATAATCCTTAACACTTTACTTTCAACTTGAATTTTCAACAAATAAAATGTGTGAGCTGAATTTCACTTAATCTATAAATGTTAAAGCAACATGTTTAGGGTACAGAATAAATTCTGAAGTTAATTATTCAACTGATAGTTTATCACTGAATTGCTACCACGTATCTTGTTTTTGTTGAGTTCCTAGTATTGGTATTGGATTGGGAACTCAACAAAACACAAGGTGCATGGTAGCAATCCTGTAAAAAAGTATCATTCTAATGTAAATGACCATGAAAGCTTTAAACAACATATTACTCAACTGGTTTATAATTAACTTTTAAAGAAACATTTAATTAATCACCAACAAGCTAAACTGTTTCCAGCAATTCAATTATAAAAGTTGATAACTGTCAACTTACCCTTTCTCTCTGATGGAGTGTAGTTGCTTGGGAGAGAGCGGGTGGGGCTCCAGGCCGGCATCCAAAGCTGCAGCATCCAGTTCGTCACATGGCGGTGCTATTATGATATCTGATGGTCTATTGCCAGGGCCAGTGAAACAGGACTGAGGTAGAACTGTGAACATTTTTATTAACAATGTTTAATACATCCTAGCTAATATTATTAGCTACAATTTATTGATAGTGATTTATTGGTTTTTTATTGCCTTTTAAAAATATTTTATCCATTTGATGTAATTGCAATCAAGTATGATAAATTAGAATAGTTATTTTAACAACAACAATTACTAAATATGAAATTATCTAGATGCTGCAATTATTAAATTCTTATCTTTACATAGATTTTATAATTAATAAACATCATAGTCATATAGTAAAATAAATTAAGCCTTCAGATGTTTAAAAGTTCACAGTATACATATTGTATTTTCAAATAATACAGATTATTTTATGGAGATCATTTAGATGTGGGTTTTTTTTTTATTTTATAGCTGGTCATAAAATAACTGATCAGTAATTAATAGTTTTATTGTATATTTCTGGGCCTTTTCAAAAGCAAAGTTTTGCTACTTAAGAGAATTGATTACCAATAGGGAAAGTTTTCCAGTGATATAAAAAGTCTTCAGCCACTTGTTTGATATTGTTCACAAGTTGTTCTACTTCTGGAGGAGCACCTACAAGCTGCACGTCGAAGCGCAGTGGTTCACGCTCCGGAGGCAGAGTTTCTAAGAGCAACGAGTTGGGCCGCGAAGCCCGCTCGCCTTCGCCAGCCATAATAATCAAACACGCGAGAAAAGCATCAGATCCCTCACACTTTGGACGGCGTGTCGAGCATTCCACCTCGCTAATCGTATAATAGCCTCCGGTGCTGCAGTGGGCGGAGAAATCACTTAACACCGACTTCTTATCGTTTTATTTATTATTACATTCATTTGATCTAATAAACTCAACACACAGATTAGTGTTTTGTCTCCTTCTAGCTCATATTTGTTTTTGAATAGGAATGCGAAACGACATTTCTCATTGGAGCTGCATTTAAACACATAAAAATAGGATTTCGGAGACAAAAGAAAAAGAAAACTGAACACCCAGCCAAAACCAGGCTAGCTCAATAATATGACATTGACAATTTCTTTCTTCCTTCACATTTTTTGACACTTTGAATGACATGTATTCTCGTCCTAGAGACGAGCCTAAATGAGGAAGTATTTTAAGAAAAAAAGAAAGCACTAAATACTTCCTTATTAAATCATCTTAATAAAAATTCAGCAATCAAAAAGAAACGTCCGTTCGAAACGAACAGCAAGGTTATAACTATAAATTTCAAAATCACAAAGATACATACAGTTACTCTACTATCGCTACTGAACTTGCATATCGACGGCAGATATCGAGCTAGGTGTAATTAGTTCCCTCAAATATAGCGAAATATGACTCATGTGTCAAGCTCGTAAACGGGTGCTGCCAGTTGAGGTTGGATATGCACTGGACTACTTAATTTTGTCCATTTTCTTTTATTATGAACATTGTATATTGATTTGTCAATGAGTATGTAAGATTTCTGGTATTGTAATGAAAAGTTACTTCATAGTCTAATGAAGACACATTCTAATAAGACTTCTCTGTGTGAAATAAAACAAGGAGTAAAAAAGCAGCCCTCGCTGAGTTTCTTGCTGGTTCTTCTCAGTACAAGATCTCCCGCCTTAGTTTTGCAAACCATTGGCAAAGTTTTTGACTTTGACAAGTGTTATGTAATAGCCTAGACTGAATTGATTTTGACATTTATATTAATATAATTCGACGCGTGGATGCATAATGGCACATATGTAAAAATGGCACATAAAAAACAAGCATAATTCAGCGCTCCGCTTTTTGTTCTTGATTCCAAACTTGAATTTGAATGATCCGAGTCAATTGAAAATACAAGCAATCAATATGTTGGCTCATCACTAATCTAAATATATATAACTCAAAGGTGACTGACTGACTAACATAATGATCTATCAACGCACAGTCCAAACCACTGGACGGATTGGGCTGAAATTTGGCATGCAGGTAAATGTTATGACGTAAACATTCGCTAAGAAAGGATTTTGATCAATTCTTCCCCCAAGGGGATAAAATAGGGGATGAAAATTTGTATGAAATTTTGTCAATTTTAAACCGGTCGGGCTGAGATTTTGCATACATAAAGCTACTATGACGTAGGCATCCCCTAAGAAAGGATTTTGATCAATTCTACCCCCAAGGGGATAAAATAGGGGATGAAACTTTATTTCAGGTATTTTACACGATATAATGAATAAATATTCGTTAGAAATGCTACTCAAAGTAACTTTACCACGCGGACGAAGTCGCGGGCAAAAGCTAGTGTTGACATATAAACCATACATCATTTCTTTACACGTAACATAATAACTAACTTAAGCTTACGATTCAAATAAAATAAAATAAATTTATAAATTAGATATTGTAAGAAACACAAAACGATGTCATATTTATTAATTTTCGATACTTGATTTACTTTTATTACGCCAGAAACAAAATTCAAATGAATATCATAGACAAGATCCAAACATCGCTAGTGACATCTAGTTTGATTTCAAGAACTAATTTTTATTTTTAATACTTCCTCATTGGTTCTGTACTTTTTATTTAGGGTGGATACAAAGGGCAATTCGTATACAGCCTACAACGCCGGAGGTGAAAATAAATGGGATGTTATCATAACAATCCGCTATCAGAACAGCAGGTTAGATTAGTTATGTTATGTTATGATATACGACAGGCATTTCTGCAACTCGACACTTAAGGTTAGATTAGTATTGCGGCCCCAAAAGAAAACCAATCGCTGCCAAAGATGAGCCACTAACAGATCAGTAGGTTCGATTAAGTTAAAACTGCAACCCCAATAAAAAACTAATCGTTGCCAGAAACAGGATTAGGTTGTAACTTAATAATTTTGTTTCTCATTACCCTTAGATCCGATTTGATGCAAATGTGAACTTGTATTAACACTCCAATCACGATGTACTTCAATAAAGGACATTAAAAGTCAGGCACATCGGAGTCAGTTTGCGCTAGTCAAGTCACCTTGGTCGGAGCTCTGGGTTGGTCGACTGATTCAGCGTGTAAAAAATGCATGCTGCAGATTTTGCTTTCGCGTGCCTCCTCGGGCTCACATTACACCAACTTTTAATTCGGCAAATATGCTTCGTATGGAGTCACGTCGGCAACTGCACCTGGCGTGTCTGTTATTTAACGTCATAAGGCATCAATAGCCGGAATATCTTTACGAGAAGCTTAAATTTTTCAAGTCATCCAGCAAGTACACCATAAGAGTTATAAGACCTGAACTGGTTTGTTACCATCATCGCACTGCAGCATTTAGGGGTAGCTTTAAGTTCCAAGCCACAAAGCGTGGAATGATTTGCCGCCCCCTTTGAGGAGTCTTTCTACAATTCACAGATTTAAACTTATACTTAGAACCCATTTCCTAGATCTACAAAATACGCTTATGCTTAACGAATCTTTGTAATTGGATTTCCCATGCCACCTTTTTGATATTTAATCTGACTTCTAACATTATACTATCATTTATTATGAATTATATTTGACATGTCTTTTTATTTTATTATTATTATTTTTCGTGATTTCTCAGCTTGAAGCTGGTTAGTTTTATATAATAACGGGCACTAGCCAAGTTTATTATTAATATGTAATAAGTTATTTATTATTATTTCCCGATATATTTTTTTTATCATACCATTTTTATTTCTATTTATATTAATTTTTGACATTATATTTTCATGAACCTATTCATTCAATTCATAAAAAAAATTGTCCCCGCTTATTTGATTAAGGGTAATGGCTGAAAACCTGTGCCCTTTTCTCAACTGCTGCACACAGGTAAATTTCTGCTTTTTGTTCTTCTTTGTTCTTTTATCGTGTCAATGTTTAGTAAGTGACGTAATTGTATGTTGCTGAGAAATAAACTTTTTATCTATCTATCTAATAACTAGTTAAAAAACCGGTTATTTATTACGTACCGCGGAAGCTTAATTTTTTTTTGCATCTCTATTTAATCATAGATCAATACGACTATTTCTTTAATTTCAAGACCTTAGAACCTTATTTATTCAGCCTCATTTTTTTCTATATTCTATTCAAACAAAGTATTTATATGTGCTTTGAAATAGAAAGGCTGTTTGTTAGAAATTCACAAGTCCATTATTAATTTTTAAAACATTATTTGTCAATGTGGTGATTTGTGAACTTGTTTGTTAGTTTGTTATTTACAATATATTAAAAGAAGTACGCATTTTAGGAAGGTATAGTAAGCGCATTCAGTAATATAATTCACATTCCATTACATTTTTCAAGAAAAGCTTAGATTTGGCGTTCGCACATTGATTGACTTCGATTTCATTGTCTTCAGGAAGCCGAAGGTGATCGGATAGGTATGTCCTACGTTAACTATTATTTGTTATAATAATATGTGTTAGGACCCGCGTATTCGCCACAAAGTGTTTAAACTAGCAAAATTATTTTTATTACATTGTAATTTAGGTAAGTTGATTTCATGTTGCTCAATTTGTTCGTATTTGGCTGTCACGTTATAATTAACTTATTACAATTTCCAGCTATGGAGGCAATGGATATTCAAGCTGTGGAATCAAAGTTGAGCGATGTCACTGTGACAGCCATTCCAATGAGCGGTAAAAATGTCCATAAAGACTTGGGACACGGTGGAAGCAGTCACGCAACAATATCAACAGTACCAGCCTCATCGCCGTCTTCTGCTAGCAAGGACAAAGACAACGGCACCTCTAAATATGCTCAATTACTAGCGGTTATCGAAGAGATGGGGAAAGAAGTCAGACCTAGTTATTCTGGCAGTCGTAGTTCTGCTGAACGTCTGAAACGTGGCATAGTCCATGCTCGCATTCTCGTGAGAGAGTGCTTGATTGAAACTGAAAGGTCAGCGCGGCAGTAGCTTGCTACACAAGTTATCATCCCAGTCAATTTTCAATACCTCACTTAGGTACATCTCTTATAATAAATAATATGAAACTGTTTACCAGAGGACAGCCACATCTTACTGTTGCCATTGATATAATATATATGAAATATGTAGTATACACAAACAAATCCCAACTAGCTCTATGGTGTATTGTTCTGTATGAGTATATGAACATATTTTTAAAACAACTCCGCTTTTTATGAAATTTCCACAGATTATATTTGATGGGTAGTTTAATAAGATACTGTCATTATTTAAGAAATATGTTGTAGTTAACAATTAACTTGCTCTCATAATTGAGAACTTATTTGTTAGAATAAAATATATAATTCAGGGTATGTAGACTTATGTAAGATCAACAGATAAGGATCATTTAGATTATGTGTTTTTGATTTTGTAACACAAAGGTTTAGTTGTCTGGAGCTAAATGTATACACTATCTTCAAACATTTTTTACTAAGTGGTGAAGTAGGTAGTCCTTGAAGTTGATGATTTGATCCAAACATTAATATATATGAACAAATAGATATTTCAAGCAATAGATGTAATGTCCTGAATAACACAGGCTGTGATTGCAACATTTATTGTGAACAACTACCTCAAAACTCAAGAAATATTGATATTTTTAATGTTTAAATGTTGTATGTATATGCAGTGATGTCATTGATACCTTTAAATGATATTTACAAAGATATTAAGTACTTAACAAAGTTTCACAATTGAACAGAGTTTTTATATGGATTCTATTTGAAGAACATGAATTTGAACTATGAGTATTATGTTTGGAAAATTATGAGATTTCACATTCATATTTCAATATATATAAGATAACTATTATGTCTGCAATTAAGAAAAAGCACGTGATTAATATAGAAAATCCAAATAAAAAAGTACATAAAACTGCAAGCCAATGTTGTGACCTCACAATAGATTAAGAGAAATTATGCTCATTGATTCTCGATATTTTTTTATAAGAATAAGTTGTATATAATTTAGTTTTAATATTATTAAATGTAGCATTAGTATTCACAGACCTCTTTAGTATTTTTAAAGAAATTGTTCCAATTTCATGAACTAATATTCAATTAAAATAAAAAAATATAGTCTCATTTCACAGTGATTTTGTACAACTAATTGAGCAAAGAGAAATATATTGGCCCTACTGCCGTAAAGTATACTTTTAAATGTTAAATTTAGAATTAAGAGAAAATTACGAAATAAATTTAAATTTTGCAATATAAGTTACCAATAACTATTAATGTACTTACTTATATATTTAATAGCTCTTGTCCATTTCAGATGTTATGTCTACTAAAAAAGAAATATTTTTTTCAGTTGATTAAAAGATTGTTTCCAATGATATATATAGTATAAATTCAAAACATGCATAATTAAAAAAACTTTGAATCTTAATAATTAAATCTTATGAAGATAATTGAGGTGCGAAATCACCTAAAATTGTATACGGATTTGCCTTCAGTTTATGAAGTCTTACTTATAAATTACATTAATGAAATGAAAAGAAATTACTATGTAAATGATTTTAAACTGTTGCTTCATATTTGCTTTGTAACATATTGCTCTTATGCATTTTTCTTATAATATAAACTGATTTAATATATGAGTCCTGTGGCGCAACTCCCAAACGCCATTTCTGAGTTTGTGGATTAAGGATTATTAATTTATTTACAAGTTACCGTTATTTTGATAAAGTGAAAATATTTCTATACTTATACTTATATGCATATAGTTTTTATAGTAAGGTACGGACAGTCTTATTTCTTGTGACGCTGTTTTGAATGCAAAGAAGCAAAATTTTTTTACAAAAAAATGTTTCGTTAATTGACTGAGATATAGACTTGAAAGTTTCGATTTGAGAATGACAGAAATACGCACTAACGACTCATATAAGATAGCGAACCAAAGCATTGTATTGCATGCAAGTGATCAAGAGAGAAATTCTTATATCAAGGGAATAATAGATGAACTGAACACAAAACATTGATTACTAGTTGAATAATACAATATTTTTTGGTCATTTTTATTGTTATTCTTGTTACCTTTTAGTTTCTTTACAAGTACCCTTTGTTCGCTTTCTTATAGAAAAACGCGTTTGTCTCAGTTTGTTAAGGTAATGCTAATGACTATTAAATAATGTAAGTGTCGAACCATTAATACAGTACAAATTTTAGTTAATTATATTTCCTACTTAGGTGAATGTGACAGAATTTAATGTTAATACATTACAGTTTACGAGATATAACGTTAGAATTGCTGTATTTATTCATGTATGGACATATTTTTTATTATGAATAAATGGGTCTTAAAATAGTTGTTTTTATTATTATTACAACTATTAGATAATTGATAAAATCGTATACAGCTTGCTACCCCCTCTGCTACATAAGTCCTTCGCACTGTTGAAGTTTTATGCAAGCTAATAAATAAATTTCTGGTCACCATCCTATGTATGGGTTTTTGAAAATTTTTTACAACCTATCACTGCGTGTCTTTAGCATAGCGTAAAAATAACACGGGTGTTATAAACTGGCCAGCAGGCCCGTAAGATATTTTATAGGATTATTTTGTGTTGCCGATTTATTCTCCTTTTCTTAGGCCTTTGAATTTGCTGACTTTGAGCAGTTACTTTTTTTATAACAATCCGTTACGTTTTAGTCCTTTGAGCTGGATAGGTAGCAGTAATAGGAGCTGTAAATGTAAAGGAAAGGGCTCAAAGTCAAGAAAATAACATAATAAAGATAATTAAAATATTTACAAAACAAAATCACAGCTAACTCAGATCACAGCAAAAGACAAAAGCTAAAGAAAAAAGGAGAATAAAATGTCAACAAAACAATAAATATTTCACTGGCCCGCTGGTCAGTTCATGGGACGAAAACACTAGTTATTTATATAAATAGTATATTTTTCTCAAAGGGGTTGACAACGAAAATAAGCTGAAATTGCTTTCTCCCTTTTGTTTAAGTAATTTGCAAAAAATCAGATGTATACATTGCATAAACAATCATTGTTAAAGCACCGTATAGGTTCACATGTATAAAAATCTTTTTAAAAACAAGCTATTGCTGTCTATTATCTTGATCCAGAGATCTTGTTAGACAAATGAAAGAAGTCAAAACTCAACAGGGTTGCGTTATTTAATTACATAGTTCTTATTATGGCCATTATTTCGTTTAATTAAATAGGACCCATCCTTACCTTCTGCCTCTATCATCAGATCAGCTCTATTGTATATCAAAACAGCTCAATCGAAAAGCGGGATGTAGCTCATATTTAACTTGCAAGATTTGACCTGTAATAAATAAAATATTGTAAAACACATATGTTAACCCTAAACACTCCTTTTTTGGGCAGTCGTGTAAAAAGAGTCCACTCTTATTTATAGGGTACCGTAACCAAAAGGTAGAACAGGAGCCTATTATTAAGACTTCACTGTCCAGGTTGTATCTCATGAATCATGATAGTTGAAATTTTCACAGATGATGTATTTCGATTGCCGCTATAAAAAAAACTAATAATATTTAAATACAGGGGCTCCCATACTACAAACGTGCTTTGTTTGCGTTTTTCATAGATATCAGTACGGAACCCTTCACGCGTGTATATTTCGCACATGAGTTCAATAAGTGAGAAATAATGCATAAGTTAATATTAATGCTTATGCATTATTAAAAATTTACCTATCAAACCTATTAATAGATTAACTGAACTCCTACTTCTAGTACTAGCAATTGGAATACCGATCGGAAGACCGGGAACTTCATGTTGACAATGATTTATATTTTTTAGATGTCCATAAGCTGGAATAACAAGTGGCGCTGGCACACGGGAATTAGTGCTGATTCAGTGGAATGGTGTCCAGTAGAACCTCACCGTAACGTACTCGTCTGCGGTACTTACCAACTTGATAACGATGCACAACAAAGTTAGTTGTTACGTGGATGTTTATTGATAATATTATTTGTATATAGTGATTTTACATTTTCGTTCGATTTTGTTGCAGGTGAAGATGCGAAGAAGCAATCAAGACTAGGGAAAATATATCTTTTTATTATCGATCAAAATACTACAGATTTGTTCCCAGTCCAAACATTAAACATAGCAGGTGTTTTGGATCAAAAATGGTGTTATCATAACATACAAAATAACCCTGTGTTAGCAGTGGCGACATCTGAAGGATGTGTAGAGTTATATCGTTTGCAGAGTGAAGGGGATTTACTTCTGAAATTGTGGGTTAAAGAAGAAATAGGGAAAGATATATTAGCTTTGTCTCTCGACTGGTCAACAAATAAAACGCCTTGTGAAGAGCCAAAATTAGTAGTTAGTGATTCATCAGGGTGTGTGACCCTTTTAACTGTGACCGATGATGGTTTAAAGAAGGTTAACACGTGGAAGTCCCATGGCTTTGAATCGTGGATAGCTGCTTTTGATTATTGGAACACAGATGTGTTTTATAGCGGTAAATATCTAGTTATAATAAATAGTATTGCTAACTGCTAGAAGGAGCCGTTTTAAAAAGTATCATAATTTAAATTTTGGTCTACCTGCCTAGCTTGCAATCAATACGATGTACCTGTTGGTGGCACTACCTGATTACATGAGGTACCTTTGGGATCTAGTTTTAAATAGCAGATAGTTTGCAGGTTTATTTTTTAAAAGCGATCTGTAATCTAACTTAATATTTATAATATGACAATATTTTTAAACTTCTCATATTCAAACTGCAGGTGGTGACGATTGTATTTTCAAAAGCTATGATGTGAGGGTAGCCGATGGAGCAGTGTGTATGAACAAACGTCATGAGGCTGGCGTCACCGCGATAAGGAGTCACGTCCACTGCGAACATCAGCTGTTGACTGGCAGGTTTGTAAAGTTTGTATATTTTTGAAGCAGAAGAGTCATAATTTCAATAAAGCGAAGTGTCCATTAGCGATAGAATAAGCTGAACTTGACTTGCGCAAACGACTTAAGTGTATGGTCATAGCACGTTCGTCGAACAGTAAACAGTTCGTACAATAACCCGGCATTTTATATCTTTTTCACACGTGCGCGAATATATTGCTATTGCGCTAGCATAGATGCATAGATTCAGCAATACGGATGTAGACGATTTTTTAAAATATTTTTAATTTATAGATACACTCGAAATACTCGTATATAAAAAGTTTATATCTAGTCTTAAATTAATTTAAAATCTTAAAATAAAAATCATGTTCAAAATTTTCCGCTTTAACGCTAACCTCTGTCATGGCGTCGAAGTGACGTCATAGCCCTCTGAAACTAACCTAAACATAAACAACAAACATCGTTCACAGTTCTATGTATGTCGATGTCTTGACATGTTTCTAAGAGGACTATGATGTCACGCGCTGTTTGCTGTCACGTGATAACATAAGTATATAACGTGTAAGAGTTTTTTCATAATTAATTTAAATAATTTTTATTATCTACACTCATCTACACCCGTATTGTAGAAAGATTGCACTTAGTGGACACGTTCGTTAGTTGACTTCTGCAAGAAATTGCGGAAGTTACCAGTGGATACTTCACATAATGAGATAATAATTTTGATCCCTTCTCATGTATTTTTACTTATCACATTTCAGTTATGATGAGAAAGCGCGTCTATGGGATGCACGAAGCCTGAAAAGCTGCATTACAGAAACGGACTTAGGTGGCGGAGTATGGCGGCTCAAGTGGCACCCTTACCACCCAGACACGGTGTTGGCAGCATGCATGTACGGTGGCTTCCGTATATTGCGAGTAAATCCACAACAGATTGATATAATTTCTGAATATTTAGAGCACGAGAGCATCGCATACGGCGCAGACTGGACACATAATCTTCCATCTTTAGTAGCGACTTGCTCCTTTTACGATTGTAAAATGCATATCAGTGAGATAGTTTTGTAAATAAAACTCGTTACGAAATAAAAAAAAGTTGCGGTCTCATTTTAAACATGTTGTATTTCAATTTGCTTATAATGTCATGATAAATATAATTTATAACAATTACATACTTAATAAAGTAATCATTTGCCATAAGTGATAAAAAAATTCTTACACCATTTACATTATGAAGGCTTTGGGATGCTGTTATCGTCTTGTTCGCGTTCTCGTGTTCATGCCGAATAAATTTTAAAAACACTAAACTGGCCTGATACTCCCTACTATAAATTTGTACCTTAACATTTTCTAAATAAAGTCTATTTTCTATTCACTGGAATTAAAGTACATAATTTACTCTCACCGCATGTTACTCACTGCCAGGCAAATAAACATAGCTCATCATACCCCTAAAATATGAAATGCTTCAAAGTTTTTAAACGAGATTATCGAATATCGACTTACTTGTAGCGCGTATGTCGATGTAAATTCTAATGCTTCCGTTGACATAACCAGAAGGAAGCTACTTTCAAATAGATTCTATTAATGAGATATAAAAAACGACACTAATTATCACGAAATTATGAGATACGAAGCTATTCATTTGTGCCGATGTCATAATTTATGATACTATTAAAGTAACATCTTATGCGTAACCCTCTAGTTTTATATATTTTTTATAAAAGTTAGCTCTAACATTGTTTATTCATAACACTAAGAACACAAAATACAGCTTGTAAACTTTGTTATATCATCATCAATAATGTTGAAAATATCCCACATAGCATCTCTATAAAAAAATAAATTACTGCCATTAATTATTGCAGGTGTTGCGTAGGTCAAATCCTTGGCAAATTAAGTACTATACGTATTACTTATAGAATTTAGTCACATTATGTAAAGCACTCGTTTAGCCGTTAGGCCCATTGATCTAACACGTGACCGTTTCACAAATCTGTAAGTTGGCAGCGATCAAACTTAATACTATTACACGACACAAATAATTCGCGTAAAATATTTGAGGCATTTCAATTACAACAACTTTAAGCGTAAGTTCATGGTATTCAACCAACGTGTATACAATTATACATGATCGTGTGTGCCCACTGTCAACAACGCAGTATCCGACATACATACAAGTATTTACTTTTAAGACGCTATAAAAAATGCAATTGTAAAATTCATTAGACCCCAAACGATTTATAAAATTTATTTTTAATCACAAGACACTATTTTAATTAGACTAGTTTTGATTCTAAAATGGCAACTGAACAGTTGTTTTGTGTCACAATAAAATATATTCATTACACAGACGTAACATTTATTACTTTTTTTAATATCACTGTAGCCGTTACATGAACGTGTAGACAACATATAACTGAAATTAACATTCTACAAACAGTTTACAATGAGTAAAAGATCCGAATATTTACAATCGAATTATAATAGTTACTTAGAAATATAGAATGGTATTCATCTAAAGAAGTGTTTAATTATCTAAAGAGTAGATTTGTGTGACACCATAAATACATTTAAAATAAATAAAACATGAAATCATAATTATACTCATTGTACACTGTGAGCCCATCCATTCTAAAATGGATCTAATACGATAGGTATTAGGTACCTAAAACGTACACTAACCTTTTCAAGACATCAATGTAAAGATTCAAAGTGAATTTCCACATTTCATTGGTTCTCCGTTAATATTTTAAAAGAAAAGACACAATCGGGCCCATTTGATATACGCAAACAGTTCTCTACAAAATACAATATTTAATAATAATAAATGTCAGATCACGCCCGCACGATTCGTTATCACTGAACGGTGTTCTGTTGCATCAAACTGCTATTTACATTGTAAAACCTATATTTACATAATCTAAAGCCGGTCTAGATTGCTAGAATCAACGTATAAGTAATAATCTGTACATACATATCGCAATGGTCTCTAGAATCGGGCTCAAAAACCATTCATGATTATCTACAACTCGTCTAAAGTAGCTCAGATATATAAACTATTTTATACACTATTTAATATTTAGAAGTCATAGCAGGAAGTCAAATATATGCAAGATATATGACATTGTCATAAACTGTCTCAGGGATCTTCTTTATTTAGATAAAATATCGCTTTACTTTAGAAAATAAATTGGCAATACTGTTTTGTTCATCGTGATGAACCAAAATCGCAAAATCAGGATTGCAGGGTCGCTTGAAACATGTATACCGTGGTGTCACATCTAAATATTTATCAAAATGTGATCACGTAGTGGTTTGTAGTTTCATAATTGTAAGCATGTTTTATAGTTCTTACATAGGTTTGGTCAATGCGTTTCTTTATTGGATTCCAGCATCTCTCCTCTCCTAAGAGAATCGATTACAGTTATCAACTAGAGTTAGTGAAGAAGTTACAGGATAATTTATTATTTAAGGCAGGCAGTTTGCGTTTCCCCTTCAAACATGTCCATTGGTGTTTATATTTGTGTGATTTTTATTGCTTTTCTATTTTCTCTGTAACATGGTCCTCTATTATTACATAATCTCTTCACTGTGCTCACTCAGATTTATGATTAGGACATAGCATATAGGTGTCATCGTTAAGCAGCTGTCGATTAGCGACGACACTCAGCAGATATGCTTTGTGGCATTCTTAGGAAGCAGAACGGCGGCAACACTGTATACGATCACTTCGTGCAATTCAGACGCGACGTTCAGTGTTCGATAGGTCAATATCTTCACTCTCACATGTAGTGATCGCTCATTATAATTCATTTTTACAATCAAATCTTTATCTACTGTACTTCTGTTACATAATTACCCAATCGAAACGTGTTGATTATATTTTAACGTAACACATTCGAACGCGCACCGATATCACAATCACTAGGTAACACATGTACACATGTCCAGTGCACGGGCGGCGTTCACTGCGGTTTGTGTGCGGGGCACAGTGCCCGGAAGGTGTCCTCGTCCAGCAGCCAGTGGTGCGCGCGGGCGCAGGGCAGATGCGCGCGCGCGGGGCAGTGGCGCGCGGTGCAGGCGAGGGGCGCGGCGGGGCGGCGGCAGTGCGGGCACGCGTGCGCGCGCGCCGCCCACACCGCGCCCGCGAGGCCCCACACGCGCGCGCCGCACGCCACCACGCCCGGCGCCCACACGCCGCACGACTCGTGGAACCACACCTCGCTGCAGCCGCTGTACCGGCGGCGCGTGACCTCCTCCACAGATCTAGCGACGATCGTAATTAATATATCAATCCTCCTTGAAGTCGAATATACTGTTTCCAACGAGTTCAAAAATACTGAAGGATATTGTAAATGCTCCCTGGTTCATGAAGAACAATAAACATGCCAACAGTGGGATCATAATACATCAATCCTTCTTGAAGTCGAATATACTATGCCTCTAACGAGTTCAAAACGGCATACTGAGGTATATTGTAAATGCTCCTTGGTCCACAAAGAACAATTACATCCATACATATCTGAACATGCCAACAGTGGCCGCTGAAATCGAATTATGTCAAAAAGAGTGGATCGTCAAAAGAATCACCCGAACCCTCTTATAGCTGAGTCGTTGGACCCATTGAACATGGTGAGGAGGTTGGAAAGAGACCACATACTTAATTAGTACCGCTTCACTGAACCAATCATCATCACCAATCACCAATCATCTCCAAATTACCTTACGGACTTACGACCGATTGCAAATCGTAATAACAAAAAATAACCCTTTTTGAAGAAACTGAGAACTTCAGTGTTACACGCAAAATAGTCACTTGTGCCCATTTTCACTAAACTTAAGAGACGTAATTGACTAGTCTGCAATACAATTATTGAGTAACTTTATGGATGGATGGCCAAAAAATATTATTTCAAGCACCTTCATTCCTCTAAAGGCTAAACTAGTCCCAGTTTAATCTGCAGTTGTTAACCACCTACCCTAATGCGCCCATGTGGTGAGTCATAACCCATTCTACTCCCTATTTTGAATTTTGACAAAGGAAGCTATTTCGAAAAGTGAAATAAACCAAAATGTTTGATATATCAATCTATACTATAGGGCACAAGACCCGGTTTTGGTCATTTGGCACTTCAAAGCGTTCTAATGCATAGGAAAACATATTACTTTACCATAAGTGATTTTTAATATTGCATAATAGCAAACTAGTACTGTAACAGCTGTGTTCAATTCCTCGTAATTCTTAAGATGACCAAAACAAGGTTCTCTTAAATAACCCAAAACCGGGTCATCTACCCTATACAGCATAAAACAAATTTCCCGCTGTCCGTACACAGAGATCTTTTAAACTAACCAAATGATATTAATACGATTTTCATCAATATACAGAGAGATTAAATTAAATTCAAATTAAATAAATATTAAAACTCGTTACCTATACTCTTCGACATCGTTGTCAATAGTGTACGGTCCGAACAGGTCCCCCAGTCCCGCGGCGTGAGGTCCCCGTTCGCAGAAGGCGCACCTCCAGGTCGCGTCGGGCGTGGTCGCGTCGTACCGCAGCCCCAGCGTGCTCGCGTGCAGGCCGCGCGCTCTCAGACCGTTGCGGAACTCCTCGCCCTTGCGACGGATCACGCCCGCCTCCTCCTCCTCGCCAGTAGACGCGTTTATAACGCTCACGGATAGTGGCGAATCGCGGGGACCACGAATCTATAAGAAAATACATTTGTTGACCACATAGGTTGATACAATAATGATTTAACTTAAAGCTAAAAAAACAACCCTTCCTATACAGGAATCAATCAACAAACTGTTTAATATGAGTGTGGACAGTCAACAAAAATAAATACTTATGCAAAGTAATTATTCAGTAATTCTCAAGTGATTACTTCTCTCGACTATAGATGCGATTGTAAGATTCAAACTGTGAATTATGTCAGGAACCTTTCAGAGAGAGGATTTTTGAGCACCAAGAAATAAGTTCTAATATACTCTAATTAACTTTCAAAGTTTTTTATCGACGCAACCTATGCATTTATTTTGGGTATTACTAAAACTAATAAATATCTTTATTTAATAAATTGATCTTAACTAAACAAAAATCTTAAAAAATATTTTTAATGAAAATGCTTGAAATATCCACTTTGATGTGGCTTTCGAACCTGTAGGGTGACTGCTCTAACCACTGAGTTACCCAGGACCTAACAGGGCTGACGAATTTTTCAAGCGATGGCGGAAGGTCATGGGGTTCGAGTCCCATCTCAGAGTGCCAGGGACATAGGGTATTATTTAATCATTTTTTATTAAGAATATTCTGTCAATGCAAAATTGATCAAATATATTTTGTGTATGGGTCTTAAAAAAGTAAAATAAACATTATGTTGCTAGGCTATAAAGTTTTTTCTCAGGTACATAAAGTCATAAACCCACATATGCTGGTCTAGGCATGTTTACATATTTTTGTACATATAAAATATGCATAAAATTACTAGATATAATAATTATTTTTAAAAAGTAATCATTTTATGAGACTACGGACGATTTGGAGTGCTTTTAGATACCACAAATGGTCCGCGGGGCACCTGTTAAGAACCATTGAATGAACCATAATGAACCATATCTCACCTGTATGTACGGTCCTCTAGATCGGCTCGAGCTCGCGTTGCTTCCTGAATCATAAGCGTCTTTCACTGGCGCATCTCTCTTCTTCGTTTTAGTTTCCTTCTTCCTGTTCGTCTTCCTGCGGGCTCCGTCGTCCGCTGTGGACGCTCTCCTCGCTACCCTGGCCGCTTTCCTGTCCCCTTTTGTGGGTGCTGATTTTCTTCGTTTCTTCGCTTTCGCTGTCTGTCGCTCGGGCTTCCCATCTTCCGTCGGCTCCTCCTTTTATTTATTTATTTATTTTTACCAATAATCGAATAGTATAGCGAATATTATAGTACGAAAATCAGCTGTTTTTTGGTAACAAGTTAGTGGCATAAAGAGATAAGGTTGCTTAGTTATAAATTTATAAACAAATTATATTTATTTCATTTAAAGTATTGAAAAATATCAAAATAATAGCCAAAATTAAGAGAGGTCACACGAGACTGTGAACAACTCGTGTGAATTTAGTCAAAACTAGTTTTTCTCTAGTTGTGCTAAATCAATAATTTTGAGTTTGAGATACAAATTAGGTTCATTTATGATTACACAATAAATAAATCGTTAGCTTAATTCATTATTGCACAGATTACTTTAAGTTGAACTTATATATAAGCGTAACAAAGGGTGATGGGTCAATCAGGATCCTGCTACAAGATAAGCAGATACAGGATACTGATTATTCAACTATTACCTCAAATTTGCTTTTTTTTGTTTTCTTCTCATTTCTTGTTTTGTACATAATGAGTTTTTTAATGTATATTGTGGGTAATATATAGCACACCTAGATCTAAACTGAGACAACTCAAAAATTTGAGTGAGTTTTGACTTAGTACAATATTCAAATACTCGGTGATCATACGCATCTATCCAACACAACAGATTCAATAAAGGTTCGGGGATGAGCCGCTAGATGACTTTAGCTTTCTTTTGTTGAATCAACAGTGGTCGCGCTCCTGCCACGTAAATAAATCTATTGTCAGACCTCCACATTAGTTTTTTGAGTTGTCTTAGTTTAGATCTAGGCGTGCGATATGTGTTATTACATATCACCTTTCTAACTTATTTCCAATTTGTTTGTTAGTGTAGTGTTTGTTTTCAATTTTCCATGTCAGACGTCATCTCATCATTCATTTCTTTTACTTTCATATCATTCCTCACACAGTCTACTCATCTTCTAATATATGTTTTTCTTTTTAATTAAATCATGAAATAAAAAATAAATACCTTCTCTATGCCGGCGAACATTTTCTCCAGCTGGTTCTCGACTTCGACGAAGCTGGCCGCGGTCGGTTCAACGGTGGTCGGTCCGCTAGTTTCCGGCTCGGCCGGTTTCGCTTCCGAAGGCGATTCGATTGGAACGTTCGCCGTTTCCGAATTGGAAGTGCGGGCGCTTCGCCTCCTCGGAGCCGCCGCCGCTTCGACCGGAGGCTCCTGCGGGGTCTCTTGCGGCTTCTCCTGCGGGATCTCCTCCGTTCTATCGGCTTCGGGCTTCGGTTCGGGACTCGCTAGGACGCTCTTCAAATTGTCGACGGTGACGGGCTCCGCGGGCGCTGCCGGTGCGGGGACCGGATGATCGGCTCGGTCTGTGCTGGCGATCATCGCGGCGATATCGTCTATCGTCTCCGCGGATCCGGATCTGGTTTTTCTTCTCGTCGGCGGTGGTGGAGTGGGGGGCTTCTCGGGTCCGTTCGATTTCGCGTGGGGCGCGTCGCCGTTCTCGACGGGGGGCGGGGTGGGCGACTTGGGTGCGGGGGCAGGGTCGGAGGCATCGGAGGGGACGAGCGGGGGGCAGGGCGCGGGCGCGGGGGCCGGGGCGGGGGCGGCGGGCGCGGGGGCGGAGGGCACGCGGATGGTCCGCTCCGGTTTCCGTTTCCTTTTGGAGCCCGGAGGGGCGCCGCACGAGTCCGCCGAGTCCTTGGAAGCGGACGATAGTGGAATTGATAAGATCCATCGTCAATTATGCATGCATATAATGATAGTTAAAATTGGGTCATTATACAAATTACAGACACTTAAGTAAGAATAGCCGGGAATCGAACCCGAAAGTTAATACCTTTAACTATATTTAACATACAGTAAGTTCTAACTGATATGATATAGTGAATTTTCGTTAACGTTACGTCCTAACTAATTATTATAATTCTTATTTTGAAGATAACTAATCTATACTAATATTATAAAGAGAAAAGACTTGATTGTCTGTTTGTTTGCTTCGAAAATACTATAGGCTAACTAATAGACTCTGTAACTACTGGACGGATTTCAAAAATTCTTTCACTGATGGGTAGCTACATCATGTGTAATGAACATAGGCTAAATTTTATCCCAAAAACAGTAAATAAACGGACGAAAATGGAAGTCGAACTTTTTTTATAGAGAATTAAAACGTTGCCATAGTAACAATTGCTTACTATTCAAATTGTCATTGCAATTCATATGAATCGATATTCCAATAAATAGTTCCCTAGGGAGCTCGCGGGCGGAGTCGCTGGCGTAAAGCTACTAAATAATAATTAATAAATCATCTACTAATTGAATTTTGTGCTACATGTACTTTCAAATGTCTAAGTAACACACCCGCGGTGTTATTTATACCCGTTTTCACTATACTTAGGAGTCGCCCAGATCTGTCGCCTAAATATTTAGGAATCGCCTAAGGTGAAAATGCATTTCACCAATGACTAGGAACCACCTAAAGACATCAATTAATGTCCAAACGTTATGCGGCGCCTAAAACTAGGTATTTCCTTGTTATGACAGATCACATCATTTCACGGAATAAAAGCAAAAAATATTTGTAATAAGTGACATTAGGCGTCTCCTAGTTAACCTGTGCCTCGTTCTAGCTCAATGAAAACGGGTGTTAGACTCCAGCGCATTAGAAATTTGCCGTACTTGTACTGTGGTGGTGGATCGCAACGTACCTCGTTGGAGGAGGGCGGCGAGGGCGTGGGCGCGGCGCGCGGGTGCACTATCACCGACAGCGGGGAGGCGGGCGCGTGCGCGGGCGCGGGGGCGGCGGCGGGGGCGAGCGCGGGGGCGGGCGCGGGCGCGGGGGCGGGGGCCAGACGCTCCAGTAGCGCGTCCACGCGCGCGTGCGCCGGCCTGACGGGAGGCTTGCTACATATACATTTGTAATATACACCTTTAACATATTTAATTTATAAAGTTAATGATTATTTTAAGGACCGCAATGTATGGAATAGGGATGATGACTAATTTTTGTTTGTTTGTCCGTCAGGTAGAGTGTTAAAAAATATTAAACGCGTATTTTTTTTATTTTTTCGCAATCATAAAATTACGGCGATCCATAGAATTGAAATTTCGCATGACGTCACGTTATGGTACATTTTCTACTCAACTGTGACGTATCGAGCCTCCACTCCCCATCTTTAATGCCTGTTATCTAAGCTACTTGTTAAATTGAAGTAAAAAAAATACGTATCTAATATTTTTCTATAATCTGACTGACGGACTAAATAGAATTGCATTTTTTTTACCCAGTCATCATCAGCAATACCAAAATGGATATTTAGAGGGGAAAATCTTTATATTTTCCCGAAAAAAAAAACATCTTTCCGTATAAATTGACTAAGGAACACCTTATTTGTTACGATGGACGTTTATAGGTATTATTTATCGAAAAAGATAAAAGTTTTTCTGCTCTAAAGAACAATTTTGGTATTGCAGGTTACTACGCGTTTGCTTTATAGCGTCGATATGTACAACCTATGACCTACAGACTTTGAAAGTTGTATTTATTATTATGATAATTCATATTATTTTGGTAATGACATGATTTATGTAAATGTCATTACTTATGATAAAGAGCTGGCAAGTTTCTTTCGCTTGTTCTTCTTGTCAGCTAAAAGACGTCCTGAGTAAGTGGTATGGGAAAAAAGATATTGGACGATTCAAAAGTGCTCGTAACAATCTTACTCGAATAAAGATATTTTCATTTCAGACCTCCGTACTTAAAGGGTGAAACAGGAAACCCTATTACTGAGACTTCGTTTTCTGTCTGTCACCAGGCTCATGAACCGTGAAAGTGCCGCCGTGATGTTGCCGTTAAGAACCGGAATAAAATAAGTATTTAAAAAGGCTCTCATACAACGAACGCGACTTTTTTTTGCTTGTCTCTGCTCGATATTGATAACGACAACAGGTAGATGCTTGAAATATTTACAGAATATAAAGTCAATGTCGCATTTATAAATATGGATGGTACGGAACCCTTCGGGCGCGTGTTCCACTTGCGCTTGGCCGATTTTTTATTAATAACTAGCTGCCACGCATACCCTGTTCTGCTACATCTAATCTCTAATAAAAACCAAGGCATTCCAAAGATAATAATAAAGCGCTTTTGTTTCGCTTTGATTGATAGCTGTGCGGGAAAAAAGAATTGTCGTTTTCACTATTTTCCCGGTATTTTTGACGTGTTTTCTCTCCGTAAAAACTTCCCTCAGACTTCATCAAACACAACCATAAAGAAATCAGCCAATCGGTGCATTCGTTCTCGAGTTTCGAGCTAAGTAACACATTTGGGCGATTCATTTTTATTTATATAGTAAGATAGGCTCACTCTTGACTTGTATCCAGCCCGAGGACATTAATGAGGTCTATAGTGGGACGAGCTTGTCTATAAGGGACTTATCCACTCTTGCCTTAAATACGTTTGTGTTATATGCACTCGGGAATGTAACTATTACAATGATCAATTTACTTTGAAACGAATCAAGTTAGATGAAATAGTTACACGACTTTAATTCTCTCTATAATTTATAAGCGATTTGCTTTCGTTAGTAAATGATTTACGACATTATTATTATATAATTATGAAAATAAATCTATATATGTATAGTATAAAAAGTCATTTCCCACTGTCCGAACCATGGCTTTTAATGCTGTTTTGTTTTGATGTCGTATCCTACGGCTACAGAGTTAGATTGTCACACTCCTGATATCTGAGATAGTTATTATTACAAGAATTTTTAAAGATATAATTTTGACTTCTAAATAACTGTTTGTTTGGAACAATTAAAATTATATAATATTGTGTTAGCTATTAACCCAAGATACTATGTATTGTTTGTTTCCCTTAATAAATAGAAAACCATGTGCGTCATAATAGTTAGAGGTAGCTCGGTGCTTCAGCTCGCTATCGTTGTTGTTAAGCAATATTCGTAAAGGTCGGTCACGGGATGGGTGACCAAAAAATTATCATCTTGAGCCCCTCCGTGCTTCGGAAGCCACGTTAAGTCGTCGGTCCCAGCTGCATTAGTAGTCATTAATAACCTCTAATTAGCATCGGGCCAGTGCCCATGCTCCTTAATCATCCATAAGGAAGACACGAGCCCCTGACTGAGCATTGGGAACGTAAAATTGACAACTTCTTCCTAATGATATAGAAACTTGATATTGCGATTACACCCCCAAGCGTATAATAATATTTATTTATTTACACACAGCCAAAATACAAGTAAATAAAAAATAAATACTTAAAATTAAACGTTATAAAACAATGGCTAACGAATTTTATAAATATATAAGCGTTTGTGGCCGAGCTAGTTTATTAGTGTACTTCGGCTTACAGCGCCCTCCCAGCATTGTCTAATTCACTGTTAAAAGATTTTGGTATTTAAATTAATTGAACATTTGATAAAACAATCATATCACAAGTATACATTAGCCCCCCCCCCCCCCCAAAGCCCCCTTAGTCCGTCACTGTACATGAACAGTATACCTGGCGGCGCGCGCTATGAGGCTGTTGATGGTGGGCGCGTCGCGTACCGACAGCGCGGGCGAGGCGGGCGACCCGTTGGCGCGCCCGCTCAGCGACAAGTCCACGCCCACGCGAGCGTACGCGAGCAACTCCTCGGGGCGTACTAGCTTATCTAACGACAACAAACAGTAATAATATTATTACAGGGTACTTTCGCTAGTGTAAAACAAGTCACTTAATTGCACAAAATCTAAAATTTACATGGAGAATCTGATTTTGATTCTTAAAATTCGTTACATTATCTTGTTTATATTAAAATAAAGTCGTGATTTTTTTGTCTGTGTGTCACTTGACTTGAAACATGTTCCGCCATTGTGTTATATCACTGTGGTGACGAATGTAAGATTAGTCATAAAGATATACCTATTAATTTTGTTTTAAAGCAAGGAAGTGTATTTATTTAACCGAAATATTTGTTTTTATGGTTTTTTTATTATTAAAATAAATAGTTACAAGTATTATTTTAAATGGAGTAGAATACCCTATTACATCGTTAGCCACTTCTATAGATTATCAAACTATTTTTATTTAACCTTGTAACAGAGAATGTTACACTGGGCAACTCAATTTACATAAATTCTAATAACAATTATTTAAAAATAAATATATTTAAAAAGTTAATTTAATTTGATTATGACATTACTACTATTGGTTACTGACATTTTTATAATTATGCTCAAATGGGGTAAATGTGTTCTGTGCTTGTGATAAAATTAAGATTCCATAATTATACATTATCGCAAATAGAGTATTCTCATTCAAATAAATACATAACTAAAAGCACAGAGCAACAAAGCCGTTTTAGAGTTATTCCCAGTTACCGATAAGACCACTAATTGTGAAAAAAAAGAGCTAAAATAGAATTTTGTGTAGGTCATACATAATTAATTACTTCAAAACCAATAAAATTATTGTAAAATATCACAATTCCAACCCCCTGCTATAAAGTGGCTTAGACAGAGTAAGAGTATTATGACTAGAAGAGATGTACTGAATAGTGAATTTTAGATGTAACTTTTTTTCAATTGAGTAATTGTAAAAATCTATCTAGATATTGACCCAATTTGTACTCTACGGCATACGATGTATATTTTTCATTTTTAATGAAATACAATTAGCTACATTTATTTTAGATTTTGTTGTCCTCTCAATGCAATAATTATACATACCTCTGCCGGGTCCAAGGTGTGGGTACAAGTCCAGTTGAGGTACCGGTGCGCCTGTCTTCACGTCACCAGGCGACGGCGTGTGTCTGGAAAGTACATTCGCATCAAAAAAGGTTTCAATCGTATCTAAACTCAGTACAAACCAAAGTCGGTTCCCGATGTCTATACTCTGTGATATTTTAAGTTACACAAGGTATTTTAATAGGGTTCATCATAGATTGAAGAGGGAGGTTTATATGTATAATGCAGTACCGCGCGGGCGAAGCCGCTGGCGGATAGCTATTTAAATATAAATGCAATGATAATAACGAGTGGGGTGGGTGGAGGTGGGGAAAATATTTTGAACGATTGAAAGGTGCTTGTGATAAGATCGAGTAGCTCAGTGGCGTAGTGGATTAGCGCCGCGGCCCGTGATCGTAGTCGTTAAGCAACTTCCGCAAGGGTCGGTCACGGGATGGGTGACCAAAAAATTATTATCTCGAGCTACTCCGTGCTTCGGAAGGCACGTTAAGCCGTTGGTCCCGGCTGCATTTGCAGTCGTTAATACCCTCCAATCCGCATTGAGCCCGCGTGGAGGGTTATGGTCCATCCTCCTTAACCATCCATGAGGAAGGCCTGAGCCCCCGCAGTGGGGACGTAAAAAGGGCTGATGATGATGTGATAAGCTTGACTAATGTATTTTCCTATCTAACTCTCGATCCGGGAAAGGTGATATTTGGATGTCGACGAAACGATTCTCGCCTTAGATCATTATTGCTAAAGTTTATGATGTCATCCTGACATTTAATTCCAAATACTTGCTATGAAAGGTTTATTGTTTTCGCCGTTTTACCGTAAGGTCATTCGTACGGATTTGATAATTTAAGTTTATGCTCTAGCTTAATTATAGCTTTTAACATTTTTTTCATATGCAGATGACACCGCCGTTATTTTCTCTGGGAAAACTTGGGATGACGTTAAAAAATCAGCTGAAATGGGAATGTTAAAAATAATAACATGGCTAAACTCGAATCTTCTAACGTTAAATGTGACAAAATCTAATTATATTTGTTTCACAAAATATAAACGAACTTAACCACATGAATATTACATAACTAGTGGACGCCCGCGACTTCGTCCGCGTGGAAGTCGGTATCCCGTGGGAGTGAGAAGTTTTCCCAGTAAAAAGTACCCTATGTGTTATTCTGATGTATAACCTATATTGCTGTAAAGTTTTATCCAAATCCGTCCAGTAGTTTTTTCGTGAAAGAGTAACAAACATCCATACATCCATACTTACAAACTTTCGCCTTTATAATATTAATAGGATTAAAATACATTAATGTAATAACGTCGTAAACTAAGCCCGTTAAATGTTGAATAAGGTACCACATATAAAGTATTTTAGTACCTATATTGGTAGACCATAGACTATCCTGGCATATGCATATTGAATTTATAATGAATAGAATTAGAAAACTTATTTACACTTACAAAAATTTACGATATACTGCCACAAATTTTATTTTAAACAAATCTATGTATCCCTGGCAGAGTCTATACTAGCATATTGCTTACCAATCTGGGAGGTGCAACAAAAACTAAATTTATTGAAATTGAAAGGGCAATAAAATCATTACTAAAAGTAATGTTTTTTAAACTATATAGATGTCCTACATACAGACTATATAGAGAATCTGAGAACTAAAGAACATAAGTCTTCCTTTCTACAAAAAAAAAAAAGCAAAACAAACGTATAAGGCATCAAGTCGCACCTATAAAAATAGAAAAATCAACTTTTGCATAGCGACAATTTAATATACGATCAATTATGTAATTGAAAAGGTACAATGTCTTTTATTTGCTGACGACCAGAAGCTTTTCCTTCCGATAAAAAGCATGGCAGACTGTGTATCATTACAAAATGATATAGACAGTGGTAATGCGGAGTGAACAAAATAAACTGAAGTTCAATACATCTAAATGTGTTATGGTATCTTACACTCGAAAATGTAAACCTGCTTACTATGAATACAACATAAATTCGACAACATTGAAAGGGTATAGAGGTAAAGGACTTTAGAGTTGGCTTAACGACTTGAGACTTTGAATCTCATCACCACATAATAAGTATTTGTGGTAAAACGTATAAAAATTTAGGATTCGTCATTAGAAATTGTAAAGAATTTACAAATATAAAGTCTGTAATAGCATTATACAATGCACTAGTAAGAAGTCAGCTCGAGTGTAATGCTATTATTTGGGTATCTAATGAATGATGATGAATGTTAGAACGCATTCAAAATATTTTTTTTAAGATATTTGTATCTGAAATTATATGGGATTTATCCGTTTTATCCACTTGTGTATCCCACTCTATTCATCATTGGTATGGTCGGATACTCTGAATTGAAAGTACGAAGAGGATTGACATCGGTAAAATGTTTTCAAATTATTAAGAGGCAAAATAAGCAATGCAGTTAGTTGGTTCTGGGCCGGGTGCGTCTAAGTTGTTAGCAAAATTTACTCGAATAACCATACAACTGCAATTTTTATCAAATTTGTATCAACTTTTCGCCATTCACCAGTGCTTGTAACAGTCTAGACTGAATAAATGCCATTGAATTTGAATTTGGAGAACGCATAATAAATAGCTTACGCTGTATATTTCCAACTGTATCGAATATTGAGTGCATTTTGATCCAATCCGATGCTAATAAAATAAAGGTCAATAAAGTTTCCCATTTCATTTACAGACTAGTTTTATACACGTATAACCGAATAATATCTCACATACATTTGTATTGCAATTGGCACATTTTGTTACTATTTGTTTGCTACTAGTCTCGTGATATATGCCATGCCAGTTGCGTGCGCCGCGTCTCATATGAATCTCATCTAAATGACGGTGGAAAGTGTAAGTGGCTTAAGTAGGTATATAACTAAACTATGTAAAATTTTTAATATACGCTAACCTTTAAATACAATGGAATATTAACCAAATGTAATTTATGAATAAATTATTATTATTATATAAAATTTTACTACCGATCAATGTGCACTTCGAACACAAATTATGATTTTATAATTTTTAATCCCCGATGCAATAATAATAAAGGCTTTATTTCACATAAAATGTAGTTTTAAAAATGTCTCTTTTTAGATAATAAGTATCTGTATCAAGAGACATTGCTCTTCTATAGCTGTAATACATATTATTTTACAATTACATATAAATTATTTCAAACCTTTAACATAAGAGGGGTGTAATTACTTTTCAGTAGCGTAATAAATAAAGCTCTAGAAGCGACTTGCGTCTATTTTCACTAAGCTTAGGAGGTGCTCAAATCTCAAGTCTAAGGGTAAGGTGAAAATGCATTTCACCAACGACTAGAAACCACCTAACGTTATATCGTTTATCTTTCGACACATTGGTGTCGAGAGATAAACAAAACTTTTTAATTTGGCATTAAACTAATCTGCTTAGACGATTCGTAAGATTAGGTATTTCTCAGTTAAGTTATGCCTTGAAATGGCTGTAGTATTCAGCAGGTACAAGACTGAAGTATCATCTATTGCGAGTGTCGTAATATATGCTTAGTGTCACGTCAGAGCTGCCCATGTGTACGTACCTCATGAGATGTTTGTCGGGCGGCGTCGGCGTGTGCCGGAACAGTTCCGGGGGCGTGGCGCTGTGCCGGAACACTGAGTTGCTGCCGACCGTCTTCATTGCCTGGAATAAGCACACGTTTAGTGTGATCATCGTGTAACATCTTCATCGTGACCCGCTAATGAATTTCCTTACTGCTGCACGGGCTGTTTTTAGACATGAAATCAAATAGAATGGGTCACAGTCCATCACGATGGCCGTGTTCAGATTGGTGGTAACAACGGCGTATACAGACAGCCTAACGTGCCTTCCGAAGCGTGGAGTTCAAGGCAATAAATTTTTCGCCACCAACAATATCTTGCGAAACTAGCTCGTGATTTCTTTTAAACTCTCAAAATTATCTTGTTGCCATTATTTAAGTATGTTATCATTAAAAGATCAAAGTTTTTTTTCTATATTTATAATGTTTTGATCTGGTTTTGTGAATGTCGTTACTCCGTTAGAGCTGATGAGTTTCTTGCTAGTTTTTATCAGTCAAAAGACGTCCTGAATGAGGTTAAAAATCGTAGGGCAAAAAAATTTGGACTATTCAAAAGTACTTTTAAGTTTAATTTTAATGAACTGGAGCTGTAAATATATATTTTGCTCCACAACAAGCCCCTGAGAATGTATTCCAGGCAACTGCTTTAACCAAGTATTCATCTATTATTAGACTGGGCATATTAACCTTAAACAAATTAACATTGAAGAGACTCGTTACTGTGTCGGCGACTGTTGACGATTCAATGATCTGACCTTTATTGATGTCAAGCTCACCTGCAATGGGTCGGGGGGCGAAGGCGCCGGGACATGGTAGAGGTGTGGGGGCGGAGTCGGCGTGTGCCACGTGACCCCTCTGTCTGTCGGCAAGTGGACCTGCGGAGCGCGCGCCAGGAAATTCGCCACCTGTAACTGATGTGTATACTCTTAAATTCTTGATAGCGGTAGAATATTTCAACATAATCAGTCTATTGTCACAAATTTTAGTCGGGTCAGGAGTCAGTGCTCTCTGTGTAAATAAATTTTAGCTTATGCAGATTAAAAAATTCAATACAAAATGAACAAGAAAAAAAACAAAAATACATTTAACTTTTAAAATATTCTATCAGTCTTGCGATTCTGTAAAAAGCCAAACCCGAATTCGAATTCTCTCATGTATTAGCAATGTTTACAGCAGATGTGCAATATATCAACTACCTATATAATTAACAAATACAACTTCATACTGGATTGTCAATAACTGCAATTTTTATTTGATTAATTAAATGACTATAGTACAAAGTTTGTGCCATGCATAAGTTTCTGAAATAAATAAATATTTAACAAAATTACGTACATTGCTCAGATTCCAAAGCAACAGCCCTCATATAATGGAGTACATATCTGAGAGAAAATACGGTTCAAGAGCACCTAGAGCCGATCATGAGACTTTAGAGATGGCAACACATTAAAACTGGTGTGAAGATAAAACAAAACATTACCATATATACCAAGAGTAACCAAACTTATGTCATCTACTGCACACTTTGAGAATAAAAAAAAATTAAGAGCCCATTTTTTACCTATTTCAAAACCATTATAACTTCAAATTATACTAATTATAGGGAGCTATAAGTATTAGCGGAAGTTAAAAATTCATTCTAAACAAGACTTTTAAATGGAGCGACCGATTTACGATATGCATATATAAATTACACAGAGAGAAATATAGAACAGAGTTATTATGAGCAATCTCTTAATTAATATTATTAGTTGATATTCACAACTAGTAGTCGATAGTGGGAAGCTCAGTCAGTGTCGAAGAATTCTCATAGATGAAATTACAAATCGCCACACTAAGCCTCCACACAACGCACCAAATTTTTCTTCTGGGTATTGCCTTCCCCCATTAGGTCAGCAACGCCCAAAAGGGGGCGTGATTGCCGATTTTGGGAAGGGCTGATATATACAAACACATTTATACACTATTTACCTTTAATTTGTTTATTAATGGAAGATTCCTGTGACAGATGGTAAACTGGGATAAGATGAATAATTAAACCAAAATTTATATTACAAAATATCTTTTTGAACAAAATATTGTCACTGGTAAATTTTAAATATTACTTTATTAATTTATTTCTATAATTTGCATTGACAAAATAGTAGAAAAGCATTTTTTGCATCAACAAGTTAAAATATACATTGTTTAAAGTTGTCACTTGGCATCCAGCCTTGAAGTTGACCCATGCCCTCTTGTTCTTGAAATTATATTTATAGTTAAATCAGTCATGTAATTCAAACTATATTAAACGACACTTCAATGATCAATAATATTTTGAAATTAAAAAATAATAATTTTTTTAGGTACTATGAAATGATGATGTAAACTAGCTACTACTTGTCTAATAACTTTTTTTAATCAAGCAATTTTTAGTGAAATATCAGTAACATTCGTAAAGAAACACTATGCATTGCTCTCTCCATTTGTCGCTGGGTGACCTCTAGCATGCTTGATGATTAATACCCATAGTGAACCACATTATGCTTGCGTAAGTGATCCTGGCAACACACATAGGTTAAATAATTTTGTCTTGAGACATTGAAGTAATTTGGATGGGAAGATTTTCACAAAGTCTCCCATCCAATTTAGTTTTGACCAGAAATCTTTCTCATGACAAAAAGAAGCTTCATATTAATATTCAATGTGGCTGTGTTCAGTGAACATGAAATTCTACATCAAAGAAGTTTAATGTTTTGAGGCAATGTTGTTGAAGAAACCTTAAAGAAATCATCAGGCTTGATATTCCGTTGAAAATAAATGCTAATTTCACAAGGTTTGGTAAAATTGGTACTTAATATCACAAAAACAGATAAGACCATGAATTAAAAAAGTCAGGTCTTAAACACAGTTTCAATGAATATATTTCTAAGTACTTATAGTTTCCAAATTTAATTACTCCTTTAGAAAAACAATTGCAGGTTTTAATAAGAATTTAATTGAAATATCTACATTTAGAAAATATTACAGATCCCTTAAACAGTGTTTCCACTTTCTAGAAAATTAGGAAAAGTCCGGTTAGTAAAAGGTGGTCAGGGATAGTCAGGGTAGATAAGATCTTTGTAAATTTTTAATATTACTTTTTGATTTTAAATCTCACAAATTGTTCATGAATCTTGCATGCAGTTATCTATTTAGCCAATACTAAATTATAGACAAAGATTTGCAACAGGGTATAATAAATAGCCATATTGCATGAAGAATGTCCAAGTCTTTTCAATGTCAATTAATATCAGGTCTCCCATTTTTTATACAGTACAGTTAATTATGTTACCAATATAAATGTATTCATATCTAGTTGACAGGAACAGCTTATTGACAGAGTACTGAAATAATTATTTATTAGAATAATCTTCCATCACTATATCAACCTTGAAAATGTACAAACTAAAATATGCAAAATTCATGATTAGCCATTAATTTTATAATCTACAAAATAGATAGTGATCATTTCTAAATACATGATACATACTGTTTTCAGGCAATATGCTTGTTGTCAATTCAAACAGCTGATTTGCTTGCATCACACTCACACATGCATATTGCCAACTATTACAAATGTGCACAAAGGAAATGTTTGTGTTCAATACATCGACAATATTACTGTTTTACCTTTAGATTGAGGTATTTTTTGTGTTATATGAATTTGTATAGGTCAATAATAGGATAACCTATAATTATACTCGAAGTAAGATTCATACGTGTTTGATATAAAACTAGAATAATAAGCACCACCTGCAGGGGGCTCCAACCGGGGCCCAATTGTGATTGCCGACCGTTAGGGTTGTGCTGCGAGCCACCAGACATCGTGCGCAGAGACGTCGCGACACTGTTTACAACACGTACTCTTCACAAAATCGTCAACAAACACTCTCTCAGTCCACCATAATGATGCCGGCAACTTTGAAGCCTTCGCCCGCGTAACTGCGCTCCCTTACGACGTGTACAGAAACTTCTGAAACGTTTTCATGTGTGCTCATCAAAGTTGCTAGGATCCACTGCATACCATGTGTATTTCTAATTAAGGACACTATTATTCCACTCTCATATATAACTTAGTTCAAAGAAAACTGGATTTATTTCGTGCATGGTATACTGTTCTCGAATCTGATGCTCGCTTCGCGTGACATTTTGAACGCATTTACGTTTTGGAACTAAACACTGTTACAGTTTCTGGAGTTCTGATTTTGGTTTGTTGAAAACTTATCACTGTAGCTTTTCAAACAAAACGTTATATTTCACCGTAAACTATCACAAAAAATGGAAAATTCATCAAACTATTGGATAAAATCGCCCTCAACAATGGTGGCCGATGGGATTTTGAAAGCACAGTCAGTGCCATCTTGCGACGAAATTTAAAAGCGCGTCGGTAAAACAGTTGAACGGAAGTAATCAGAGTTTGTCTATGGATAACTCAATATGTATTCACAATCAGGTGTAATCAAGAAATTAAAACATATATTAAAACTGAAATAAAGGCTTTAATGTGAATGAAAATATATTATAATCAATTTAATTAGTAACGCTCCAAGTTAATGAGTTGTGTCAATGACTATTGTGCGGCTTAATGATGGCAACATCTGTTGCTGTAGCAACCATTGTTTTGTTTGTTTTCTTGTCAATTTCAATGGTCATTGTAAACTGCAAGAAAGTTTTTTTTATTATTTTTCAATGAAAGACAATGATGTTACTAAGTTTTTGGTATCGTTTAGTGGTCAGATAGAATATATTATTTTTCCAGGAGGCGTATTTGACGAGCAGTTGTATATACAGTATGAAACTGTATGGGGTCCTGATTGGGACCCCGTTACTGGAGTCACATCAGGAACGACGCAGATGGCGTGTTCTGGGAGCGACCCTGAACGTGTGGTGTTTAATATGCCAATAGAAATGGTATTCAGCAGTACTTATGTGTTTGGGTGTAAGTTTCTAAAACATATTTATTCTTATAGAGTCGATTGTTTGCAGAGTATGTATTGAAGACTTTGTTACTAAGATTCTGAATTTGTTATAATATGTGATTAACATTAACTTATATTATAAAAACGGAAAAATTTAATTACTTGTTTGCATTAAATAAGCTCCGAAACTATGATTTTAATAACTTCTAAACTTATTTGGGTACTTTTAATTTTTTTACATTTTTTGAGATCTTAGAATCCCAAGTTCATTTCCTTGCAGTGTTAATGTAGAAAAAGAAGAGCCTAAGTTACCTAATTTCGGATCGTGTAGGTATGTTTGTTTTTTTGGCACACTCCACTATTTCTCTACATTTGTAGAGATGTTCAATGACTCTAATATTATCTGGAAGAAAAAATAATAGTTTTTAATTTCCATCATGTCAACTTAATCTTTTATGTATGTGTGAGCAACGTTATCTATCGACCTCCACAACTCATGTCAAGGTACCACCGTCTCCAGGGTACCGATTTTGAATCACGTTTTGTAGAAAATACACTTTTTATAATGCCCGAGATTAGATCAAATCAAATCAAAATCGTTTATTCAGTCAAGGCTTATACATAGTACTTGTGAAAGTCGAAAACTACGCCAACGGTTCTCAAAACTACGGCGGGAGACCTTGTACTGAGAAGAACCGGCAAGAAACTCAGTAAGGGCTGCTTTTTTCTCCCTGTTTCCTTTCGTAGTGAGTCGTCTTATTGGAAAGTGATTAGATTATGAAGTCACTTTCCATTTACAATATCAGATATAACAAGACATATATTTTCTATTAGTTATTAATATGCCGGTTGCCGAGTTATATACACTCATTAATAAATCAATATACAGTATTCATAATAAAAGAAAATGGACAAAATTAAGTAGTCCACAGCAGGCTCATCCCTACAGGTAGAATCCGTTCACAAGCATGACGCATGAGCCAGCCATCGCTTCGCTCAACCATATTCTAGGGAACGGAATGACCCTACGCACAATACACCACCGTAGAGAATTTTAAGAGAGTGTGACTGCTCTAGGTACTTATGCAGTGCACATTGGGTTAATATATGTAACACCATGCTTTTTTGTCATTTAGATATTCTTTGACTTTGTAGACAATTTTTAATACGACTATTAAAATCATTTATTGGGAAATCTAATACATCAAGTACTGTATACCTTGACACATGAATTAACCTAATACCTTCTGTAAACTTGTTAGAAGGCATTACTAGCTTGTTTTTATTTCTAGTGTTAAGTTTGTGGACATCACTATGCTTGGTATACATATTAATATTGTTGCGGACAAAAATTATAAAATTATATATAAATAGGCCCCCCACAAGGTGGACCGACGATCTGGTGAAGGTCGCGGGAAGCCGCTGGATGCGGGAGGCGCAGGAGCGATCACGTTGGAGATCTTTGGGGGAGGCCTATGCTTAGCAGTGGTCGTCTCTCGGCTGATATGATGATGATGATATGAATAGGCACCTTCGTTCTTTCCGATTTCCATAACATAATGGCGATGATAGATCTTAGGAATCGATATATGATATTAATCATAAGAAAAACATCGATGTTTTCACCTAATACTTAGTTTAAGAACTAAGCAATGTTACATTACGTTGTCTATTTTTTTATCAATCATCTATCGATCCAGGGCCCCAATTGGTCATCACGTTGAGAGCCCAGAATTCCATAGGCGGTGATTCCCTGCGAGGGTATGCGGTAGTACTCCTCCCCCCGACTGCCGGCAGTAGGCGTGTGTCAGCGCCACTTGTACGTCCCAAAGCGTCGACCATTCTAGGCGAGTGGATCTCCTGGATCACGGGACGGTACCCTGAATTAGCTGACCCGAAAATGTTGGCTAATGGGAAAGAAAATTATTGTAAGTTAATAATTCTTTTTTTGCTCTTAATTTTTCAAGCTGATTATAAAAGTTCGTTTCTTAATTTATTCAAATTCTTGTTTAATTGTTAAAAATCTTTCCTTAAGTTATTACTTTTACTCAAGAAATTACTTCTTTTACACTATAGAGATAGACATATAACATACCTATTGTCGTTTTAATTTAATTTACACGCAAATTATAATTTGTGCAAATTTTATGTATTGAACTATCGAAACAAAGTGTGCTCTACGCTTAGGACTGTTAGCTTATAAAGGTCATGATTTTTTGTTCGGATTATTATTTTTATTCTATGACAATCATTCATTGCAATGAGATAGTGGCGTGAGGCTAATCGAAAACAAATGTGTCAATGCCCAGGTTCTAGGTCGTATCTTGATCTAGATTATTACTTATAACTCTAGTTACTTACGCATGTATCGCGTGCTTGACAGGTGAATGTTTATTGTTCATATTGTACTTATTATAAATGCGAAAGTATGTTACCTAAATATTTTCTTTTGTTGGTATAACGGCGAATAGATTAGGCCCGCTGTTATTGAGTGTACTTTTTAACAACGGCTGTAAAGAAATATTTTGGCTGGTTTCTGATTTGAGAAATGTGCAAAATCTCAATTGATTATACTCAATAACTTAATTTATTTACGGCCTATTAAGTTTAAGCTTCTTATTCATCAGGTTGTGTCCCACAACCATGGAGGGAAGCTAATGTGCAACCGGTTCCCAAAAAAGGTGATCGGTCAGATCCCGCGAACTACCGTCCTATCGCTATAACCTCTGTACTTAGCAAAGTTATGGAGCGGCTTATCAATATTAAGATAGTTCGCTACTTGAAAGATCACTCTATAATTCACGATCGGCAGTACGGGTTTAGGCCAAACCGGTCGACGGGTGATCTTCTTGCATACTTATTACACCGCTGGGGTGAGGCGATGGACGCCCATGGTGAAACATTGGCTGTCAGTTTGGATATTGCTAAAGCGTTTGATAGGGTCTGGCATAGAGGCCTTCTCCCTAAACTTCCTTCTTACGGACTCCCTAGCCGGCTCTGTACTTGGATCACCGGCTTCCTGGCTGAGCGAAGAATACGTGTCCTGGATAGTAGGGCTTCGCAATTTAAAATAGTGAATGCCGGGGTTCCACAGGGTTCGGTAGTTTCACCCACATTGTTCCTTCTGCATATTAATGACATGTTGCCTTTAGGCCTCATTCATTGCTATGCAGACGATAGCACTGTGCATGGCACCTACATGCCGGTGTACAACCGTCGAGTGGCGTGGGACCAACGATGAGAAATCGTGAAAATCTTGTCGTGGAGCTCAATCGGTGTCTGGACTGTATTTCCAAATGGGGTTTAGATAATTTGGTTGGGTTCAACGCCAAGAAAACACAGGTATGCGCTCTATCGTCTAAGACCTCCCCTTTCTCCCCTCTTCCCACTCTTCGGGGCACTAGCCTCACAACAAAAGATAGCCTCAACATTCTGGGCATAGATATTCTGTTGGATGACCTAGACAGGCTGCAGCGCCGGGCAGTACGCATCATAAACGATGAGGGGCTAACCAACAATCTTGAGCCACTGCAAATGAGGCGTGATATTGTCTCACTCAGTGTGTTCTACCGGTTCTATCATGGAGAGTGCTCCGAGGAATTATTCAACATCATTCCCCCCTCCTACTTTCGTAACAGGTTGACACGTGCCGGTGCTCGCTGTCATTCCCAGACTGTTTGTACTATGCCATCTCGTACAAAAAAATTCGGCAAATCATATATTTGCCGTACCATTAAAATGTGGAACAGTCTTCCATCCCACATTTTTCCCATTAAATATAACCTTGGGTGCTTCAAAAGAGGTGCGAAAAATGCTCTTTAATAGGCCGGCAAGATAGTGGTGGCTACCAGGAGTAGTTTCGACTTCTGACAGCTGCGACTATTATTAGACTGTAATATCACTTCCCACCAGGTATATTACTGTCACTTTGTCGTGCAACAATAAAAAAAAGTCAAAATGTCCTAGTTTTGTCAAACTCAAAAAAAGTCAAAGTCAAAATAATCTTTATTCAAATAGACTTCTTAAAAGTACTTTTGAATCGTCCAACATTTTTTTCCCTACCACTCGTTCAGGACGTCTTTTGGCCGATAAGAAGAACGAGCAAGAAACTCACCAGCTCTAATAAGAGTAATGACATTTACAAAAACTCATTAAGTTCATCATTAAAAAAAGTAAAATCAGAAACCAAACATGTGTATAAGTGACGTTTAAGTACAGTTTGTACAAAGGTAGCAATTTACTTTTCTTGTCGGAGTTTGTTTCGCCAGTTCCTCTCAGACAAGACTCCCAACATTGGGACGGGTGGTAGATTACAGTAGCCAGGGGTAAATAATAAATATTTTTAACCGACTTCAAAAAAAGGAGGTTCTCAATTCGACTGTATTTTTTTCTTGTTTGTTACGACATAATAGTCTAAGATCCGAACCTAAATCGACCTTCATCGGGTTGATAATGGAATAAAACTTATTATATAATTAATTTAGTATATTAGAAAATATATTAAAAATGGGTTGGCTAAAAAAATCCTGGACAGAATATTTTTAATTATTTTTTAAAAAATATATTTTTATTAAATGTTGCAACATCAAGATAATAAGAAAAATTTAATTCTGACTTAAAGTATAAAACATATAGAATGTGCAGACGTTGGGTTGTCTATTATTTACCTGGACGAACTACTGGGTTGTCAGGTATAAACAGGTATATCGATGCCAGTTAATTTCACTTGATTTGATAATAAAAAAAAATTATATCAACATAAGCGCTGTTTCATTACGAACACATTGATATAGGGTTGTCTGCAAAAAATTCGGTCCTAATACGGGTTTGCGAATATTAAAAATTAAAATTTTAACGCGTGTGAAAGTGAGTGACAGAGAGATCCGAGGAAAGTATTTTTATAACAGGTAATATGGTAACCTATAAAATCGAGCGCTGCTTTAGTAAGCTCAACTTCATGATATTTAAAGTTTTTGTTTTTACGAAAAGCTAGCTTCAACGAACAATTTTAAAAGTTTCAACAGTAAAATCATTTAAAGAATCGTCCGAACCACACAAAAAACACTTTTTAGCCATTTTTTATCACAATAATACAGAATAACATACTCCAAAATAACGTGCTCTGTTTACTATACCTCCACCCTCCATATTTTACATTCCGAGCATACGCACTTTCATATATTCAGGGTCCGATCAGATGCGACTGCAATGTTGGGTCCTTTACTATTACACGGTATACTTTCCTCGGATCTCTCTGTCACTCACTTATCCACGCGTTAAAATTTTAATTTTTAAAATTCGCAAACCCGTATTAGGACCGAATTTTTTGCAGACAACCCTATATCAATGTGTTTGTAATGAAAAAGAGTGGGAAGAGGGGAGAATTAATTATACAATAAGTTTTATTCCATTATCAACTCGGTGAAGGTCGATTTAGGTTCGGATCTTCTACTATAACTTTTCACTGGGTGGATTGATTTTGAAGATTCTTTATTTGAAAGCTAGCGCTTGTCGTGTGGCTGTTTTTAATTTGGTCCAGATCTGGCAATGGTTTCTATGAGAAAACATATAAGTCTTTAAGTTGAATTAAGTATGCGTGATGTTTGTTACTCCGAAACTCAAAATATCACTAAAATGCATGAAATTATAACTAAAAAAATGGAACCTACTTCAAATTAAAAAAGTGAAAAATAATACTTATCTTAAAAGCGGTTAATTGTTTAAAGAAACATTGAAGTCAGCGGTTAATATTTATTTAACAAAAAACCACAACCCGACTTCAATATTTCTTGAAACATTTAACCGCTTTTTAAAATAATTCAATTGAATTTAAAAAATGTAAACGTTACCATATCTGTTTTTCATTGTATTGTGAATGTGTCCAATAATGTTGATTTTTGAAGGTAGCTATACTTTTAATTAAAAGGCAATCAACATCTTAGTGTTGTGTGAACACGGAACCTGTAAAGGGTCCGGAACATCAATAAAACTAAATTCAAACGCGACGAAACCGTTAAAAAGTTGTTTTATTTATAGATAGTGCACGTGAAAATATAAGAAATCAATAATTTGATAAATATTTTAATTTTTTAACTAACTTCAAAATCCAAAAGGATGAGGTTATATGATCGACCGCGCTGTATGCTTTTTTATACCTACATAAAAACATTCCTTTTGAATCGCCTTATCTATGAACAAAAACCACATCAAAATCCGTTGTGTAGTTTTAAAGATTTAAGCATACATTGATCATTACGCTTTTTGATTCCTCATTAACTGTAGTAGAAAAAATAATATACTCTGTTTTGTTTATTGTTCGCAGTGCTTCGAACCGAGTCGTATGGCACAGTAAATCTGCTTCTAACGATGGTCTCCAAAGACTTGAGGAAACTAGGATATGACAACCAACCGCCGGCGTATAGAAATACGTTAGATATACATTAATACCTATAATGTACACAATGTTATGTTGGGGATTTTCTTTTTTACAAATAAAAGGAAAAAGTGGATTATATTTAGTTTCTAAGTATTACAATGTTAATAGGTACAAATATTAGTAAGCAAACATGTCTCTACATTGTTTTTGTGCCTGAATCTAAATATCAGAGGAAAGTTACCTTAAGGAATTCTATCCTTATATGGAACACTGTAATTTCTTCTTAAATTATTCTTTATGAAAAAAAAAAAATTGAAAAAAGCGAATCCGAATCCGCAAATTGCGGATTTGTTGGACTTGTTGGAAAAAATAAAATATTTCGAATTACGAGCAATCCCAGTATTCTATTCCGCAATTGGTTGTCACCAAAGTATTGGTTAAAATAATAAATAACTAGTTATCTAGTAAAAACATACTTCAAAGTTAACCTTCTCCCTAAGAGGTGGGTATTAATAAAAACAAATGGAACCAACTATGATTGGGAATCACACCTGAAGGTCTACAATTCTGTTCCGAAAACAAAAGTTCGTTTATTTCCGAAGTGCTAAAGGAACGTATTTTTTGATAATCTATGATATTGTACCAAAGTTTTTGTGACGCCATAAGCTTCCCAAATCTAAATATATTTTTTTCCAGTACGCAAAGGTTGCTTGGAAATAATTATTTTTTAGCAATAAGGCCGCCAATTGTACAGTTTAGTTGATGTTATTTATGGTTTACAATAAAGCATGTATCATTAATTCATTCATTCAGTAGAAACCTGGTACTCTGATGCACAGATAATCTTCACAGATTTGTATTTAACAAAATTAAAAGAACTATAACAATAAGTTTATATTTGCTATAAATAGGGTCGTTTAAAATAAATTTGATAGTTGTGTTCAATAATAAAAAAAAAATAATACTTGACCTTTTTAGTCATATTAAATCAATTGCATGCAAATATGAATCTTACGTTTCAAAATAATGTGCATTTGAAATAATAATAGTTTTTAATGATAGATTTTTGAGAGTAATTGATCTATATCGAATCCCTGGCGGGGTAGACAGAGAGGACCGAACGCCACAAAGATTTTTCGCCTCATCCACTTTCGTTACCCTTTTCATACGCACTTGACGATTTTTATGGCTTCTGACATCATCTTCTAACAGCACGCGATCGATTTGAAAGGTGTGTCGTGGCATTTATCGGCTTCTCCATCCTTCTTCTTTTGCGTTGTATATCAGTTTTGTCATTCTTTCATCGGGTTCTTTCGACGTGTCCAAACCAACGGAGCATGTTTCTATCTTTCAGTTCAACTAATCATCACCCTCAGTTTTCGTTAAACATAAACTATATTGATTACGCGAATTTTGCTTACCGACGTATGTTTCCGATAAATTAATATTGAATTATTGAGATTAAAACGTTTTTTTTTTGTGATTGTCGTTTCTGTACATCATTATAAGATGCCCAGAGTGTGTGTAAACCATCCTGATAACTTTTGTTACATTTGCGGTCAACTTACTATTAAAAGTCAACGTCGTAATTTGACACCATTAGTTAAAAACTGTTATTTTAATTATTTTGGCTTTCCGGTGCGATATTTGGTGAAAAACTGGACTCCTAGTGTTTGTTGTGCACAATGTGTTAGTTTATTAACATCTTAAAAAGGGATCTCGTCATGGGGCTAAAGGATCTCTTCATATGCCGTTTGCAGTTCCAATTATATGGTCTGAACAGAAAGACCATGTATCAGATTGTTATTTGTGCCAAACTTCTATCAAAGGTATTAATCACAAATCTAGACACACCGTGAACTATCCGAATTTACAATCTGCTATTGCTACCTCCATTGCACATCAAACTCGGACTTATAAAAAACTTTGTCAAAGCTATGGACAGAAATGGAGATGGTTTTTGTTACTTGAAACAGAAATTCCCAAAAATCAGCGATGCCAAAATAAAAGAGGGAATATTTGTAGGACCACAAATTAGAGATCTACTGTCTGATAAAGAATTTGAACAAAAACTTAATCCGATCGAAAAATCTGCATGGACATGTTTTCGAAATATTGTTAGTAATTTTCTTGGAAACCACAAGGCCGAAAACTATGAAGAGTTGGTCAACAAACTCTTATCAGCTTACAAGAATATGGCATGCAATATGTCGCTCAAGATACACTTCTTACACTCTCATTTGGATTTTTTTCCTCAAAATTTGGGAGCCGTTAGTGATGAACACGGCGAGCGATTCCATCAGGATATATCCAACATGGAAAAACGGTACCAAGGCAAGTGGAGTCCGAACATGTTGGCTGATTACTGTTGGACACTCAAAAGAGATGTACCTGACGCTAAATATTCCCGAAAATCCTGAATAAAAGTCAAATGTTAGTTGTTTTTCTTGATTAAATTCAATTTTCAACCATATTTACTTAAAAAAAGTGTATTGCAGTTGCAAGAAAACTGAGGGTGACTGAAACTTTTTAAAAATGCAGATTATTAACAGGCTAATTGTAGATACAAAATATCCCATTCAAATTAATTTAACTTTCATTAAGGTCATTTTTGTCAATCGGTCTAATTTTTCTGAAATTTCGTAGGCCATCGGTTCAATATATGCGCTCAACTTAAATGTTTTGTAAACTATGTACTCTAGTCTTTTCTGTACCTAATTAATCTAATTGAAATGTCACAGTACTTCATTATGATAATGATAATTACCAACGAAGTAATTACGTGAGGAGAGAATCGTAGACTTGACTACCATATGGGAAACTCATTAACAAGGCGCACATGTGTTAATATTCTATTTCCATAGACAAGTGTTGGTTGTAAGGTGAAACTACTTGTTCCGGTGCCCTCTTTGCCGGATTCCGGATCCATTCCCACATGCTAGAGTAGGTATTCCGGAGCGGTTATTATCAGGTAGGACAGCGACGATTTTATCCTGCCCTTCAAGGTAGGTGCTAGTAGGTGGTGAATCCTGATTTGAGGCATAAGTTTTATTTCCCCTGCGTTCATAAAAACACGGTCAAGTGCGAGTCGGACTCGCGCAAGAAGGGTACCGTATCGGAAACGAGCAAAAAAATTACGTTTGTCGTATGGGAGCCTCCCTTAAATATTTATTTATTTTTAATTTAATCATTCATTTCTAAAGTTACTATATACATTCTTTACCTATTGTCATTATCAATATCGAGTCTGGCCGTTGTGGTATCTTCGTTGTCTCGGATACTCCATAATATTGGGTCTTTAGCTACTCATCTTGAAATCTGAGCAATGTATGTGATGTTTTGTAATATTTATTTATTTATCAAACTCAAACATCACAAAAAAGCTATTTGATTGCTTTTTTGTGATGTTTGAGTTGCTGTCGACTGCACCGAGTTGGATAAATATATCTTTTCTCGGATTCGCCCATACAATTTGGTGTAGACAAAAGGCTTCTCGAGTTTGTTATTATGCTATGCGAGCTACGTGCAGCCGCGTATCATGACTAACCCTAGAATTGAGTCTATATTTAAATGTTATACAAATGGAGCCTATACGATGTCGCGAGCTTGTCCTTCCACAAGAACAGCGGAGCGATTCTGAACGAATCCGAACCCGAATTCGAATTCCCTCATGTGTCTAAATTCATGTAATTCAGTAAAGAAATTCTATTGATTCCATTTTTTGTATAAAAATACAAAACCAAATAAATTGATTGATTGGATGTACGTGTCTCGGATATTCTATTCCTGTGTCATTTCGAAAATCTCCTGTGTCATTACGAAACTTACTTCACTCGAGCCACGAAGCATAATTACTAATTCAAGATCGAGCGGATGTCACTTTTTGAAGTAAATTCGTACACCCGAGTGGATTTGAATTCGGGTTTGCACTTTTACAGAATCGCAGGGCTGGTGTCGAGTTGCAGAAACAACCCGCCAACAACAACTATTACGCTCCAGTCCAGCATAGTGAACACTTAATTCTCTAGCCATGGTTCTAGCTATAGCATACGACGTCTCATCAATGTTATCGCGATATTTCTAGAGTTAGGTGGTCCCTCTGCTGAAGTATAAATTATAATAATGTAAAATGATAATATTATAGCAGATTAATGGAAAGAATATGAGTAAAGCAAATTTTTACTTTGACTTTGTGTGCCATTATATTCTTCCTGTATTTAGTCCAATGCAATATCGCGATAATCGCCCGTATATCATACATCTTAGTATTATTTCTGTTCCCTTGTAACATTTACATACATTCCATACATTATTAGAGACGTCATGTCGGTCTAATCTATTTTTATTTCCTGCTGTCTTGTACAGATAAAACTAATTTATCCATGCATGTTTTATCCTTGTAATGTAGCGCCTATATTATTTTACTTAAGTAGTACAAGGCGAATTTTTGCAAAAAATAAAATATTTTTAGTTTCGGCCATTATTTTCTAATCTTAACAAATGATGTATCGATTCATAGTTTTTTATACAATATTATTAATCGTTTACTAGACCTTTGGACTTATAAATAATGTATTTTAAATGCAAATAACTTTATCGGTAAAATTTTCGACAGCGATATTTGCAGATGATGGTCTATTTTAGTCAACGGTTCAGTAACTGGTTCTGCTGGATATTGACGTCACATAGGTGGGGGGTGTGGTGGGGGGTGTGACTGACAACGCCAATGATTGTTGAGCAATCGAAAATTACACATGCGATCGACTAACGTTCTAAGTTATACAACCGCAAACAAGTAATTGGTGTAAACGCATAATATGTCTAAAATGAGATAGATCTTTGTGTAATGCGTGCCTATGCGATCGCGCCAATTTAATTAACCGACTTCGGAAAACAACCTCATTGTTTAATTTTAAAATTCATCACAATCCCTTTAAAAACGTATAGCGGTTGTGATAGTGATTTATGGAATTGTGTTACTTTTAAAGTTACAATCCCTTTTGGAACGAATTATGGAATTATGGAATTATGGAATAATGGAATGAATGATATGAATAAGTTATTTGTA